AAGTAAATGGTATTTTAATTTATTTTTTCTATTTCATAATTATATTACAGAAGTATTGTTATTAAGCAGCCTTTAAATGTTAACTGTGAGGATGAGTCATTATAGATTTAGAAGTAATTTTTTTTTAATATAAGGATATAGTTTGAAATAATTACTCCTTCCATTTCGTATTTTTAGGTATCGTTTACCCTAAAAAATAATATAGTTAATGTATACGAGGTCAAAACACGCGTCTAATCTAACTTTTTTACTTCTTGACTAATGGTTTAAATATTGATTACGTAGTATGCAAAGTAAATAAAGCGAAACGAAGAGTAAGGAGTAAAGAGCATAGATCAATATGTTCTGAATTTCGAAATTATTTTTAACTTTAAAGATATTTCTCAATCAAATATATTAATTATTTTTAACTTTAAAGATATTTCTCAATCAAATATATTGAATGTGAGTTTAAGTAACACAAAGACCTCCTTGATGCTCAAGAAATTAGTATACTGCTCATGTATTATTACTAGAATTTAGAGTGTCTTTGTGTCTTTATAAATGAGTTAAATAAACTATTTATAAGTTTATAATAGTGAGACACTAGTGATCAATTGAAAAGCTCCATTAAGTCATATATAGTACTAAAACTTAATGATTAAATTAAAAGGTAATCAAAAAATCGACTTGTATGTTTACTTCTTCGAACTCTAATGTACATCGATTTTAATTAGCACCATACAAGTATAAGGGGGAGGGGGGCCAGTAAATCGCAAATAAAGAAATATTTACAACTAAAATTTGATATATTATTCCCAAGCTAAGTCTTGAGTATGAAATTGCAGAGATTAATTAAAACATTTCATATTCGTACTCAAATTATCCCCTTCCCCAAACAAAAATAAAAATAAAAAGTAACAAAAATACACATTATGGTCCAAAAATAATAATTGCAAAGATTTTGAAGATCAATACTTCCCCCTTTGACACCAATAATGTTACAACAACCGAATGTATGTTACACATACTTCAATTTTCTTTTTCATTCTTTTCAGATTTCAAAATTTTCCTATCTTATTATTGTCTCCTATTTCCAGCACATGAACATGTCCTGTTTCTCTTAATTTAAAATTTTAATTTATTTATATGACTTTTATTTGATATAGAATCTTTAAAATTAGATAATTAAAGAGTTAATCATGCATGTCCTGGTGAGAATAGTATATTATATTATTATTTTCATTAAGTGCATGTGTTTAATTAAGTGCGGTTAACCACTAGCTCAAATCACATATTTTGACTAAGTACATGAGTTTTGTCGCATATTTCTACTCGCGTATATTTAAATTGAGATATATAAAATTTAATTCACGTTTACATATAGAAAAAAAGATATGATATATAAACATGACTTTTAACTTGATTTTAGCGAATAATTATGTATTTCAACTTTGAGTGTGTTTAGTAGATTCTTAAACTTGTATAAAATTGAATAACTAGACACAAGTGTCATACATGATCGAATACACGTGAGAGGCCATGTAGAACACAAAATCATGTAGGGATGCCATGTAGGATACATATGTCCATTTGCTCAATTTTATACAATTTAAGTATTTACTTGTACACACTTAAAGTTGTAAGTTATAATTATCAACTGATGTCAATTTAAAGATCATGTTTATCCATTACGTCAAAAATATAAAAAAAAACTAATGACAAGATGACAAACATGAGTCATCGTTATTTAGTCCAAGTAGAGAAACATGTGGCATTGAGTTTGACAGTTCATTGGATGATTCTTATTTCTATGTAGATATATAAAATAAAATATAATAAATTTTCCAATTAAAATTTGAAAGGAAAGAAAATCTGATCTATAACTCGATTTTAATTTTTAGCCATTGTCTTTATTAGTTTCTTGCATTATTTTTAAATAATTCAATTAAAAAAATTAAGTGTATCATGTTGGAATTGAATTATGAGAAGAAGATAAAAAATACGACCGTTGGATTTGTTCCAACAACTATTATTCCTTATTTGTACTTATATTCTGGGTAACATTTTTTATTTTGTTATTAAAATAAAATATCGCTAACTACATTATTTTAGTAATATAAATTCACCAAAAAAATTTCCAAAAATGTTATTCATCCTTCAAGATATTTTGATAAATGTTATTCTAAAATGTAGAGTGACTTAAATGTTTAATTGTTTATCGGGGAAAATTATAAATGTTAAAAAACAGAAATTTTGCTCTTTTTTGCCTTAACTATTCTTTTCTTCCTTTTTTCTTTCGAGGAGAAATTATGAAATTGAAAAGTATACAAAATTATGATTTGAATTATATAAGATAGAGTTAAAATTTTATTTTAAATTTGTGGTTTGATCTTTTAAATTGTATTTTTTTTATAAATATAAAAAATTCATAAGTTGTGGATATTATTAAAATTATATCAATATTTTTTTTATAATCTTATAAAATAAGAAAAAAATTCATAACAAAAATATAATACACTGCCACAAAACTAATATAACAAAAAATACAATATTTATTAATTTAACTTTAGTTCAATAAAAAATAATAAAATTAAACAAAAGTTTGTCACTACTATCTATACCCTCATATTCATATTTCGTCAAGATCTCTTCACTCTTTCGATATTTTTAACAAAAAGTTATGTAGATAATAAATAGTAGATTCTTTTTCTTCAAAATTTTAACTTATAGATTAATTTTTATATTTAAAAAATATAAATCCATGGAATTTTTAGATTAATATTTTAAAAATAAATGACATATTTAAATCGATTCCATCCTATAATTTCAAATCTTAAACAAGAAGGAACAATGCCCTCCTCTCTTTGAATATTTTATGATTTTTTTCTCTCTTTTTATTGTTGCCCAAGTAGCTAGTGTTTTCTTCGTTCGATATTATTTATTATGTTGTGTTTTTTAAAAGTAAATTTAGTTAATTTTTAAAGTTAAATTAGATCACATTAATTTAATATTTTAAATAAAAAAATTAAATATTCTAAAACTATATGAAAAGTATTATAAATTACAATTTTTTGCATATTAATATAATTAAAAATACATATTTTAAAATATTAATCAAATTTTTTATAATTTAACTCTAAAAATAAAAATATAACAAATAATATTGAACGAAAAGAATATCTCTTATTTCCTTTTTTCTGAAAAGTCTCTTTACATTTACCAATTTAAGAAAAAATAATTAAATGTAGGTAAGCAAATTAGTGCATGTGCACCCAAAAAAAAAAAGTCGTACCGTACACAACGGTATTTCGAAATCGAAATAAAACGGAACTCTTTTGGCCCCACATAATTCAAAAACCTCAACCTTCTATAATTAAATAGTGTAAAAACAAGTATATTTAACCATAGCTTAAGAAAATTAATTCTATCATCATTTGCATAGTTTTGTTTACGAGGTAGTTGCCAAGTACTTTAACGCAGAAATAAAAGATTTGAAATTTGATTGAAATCATAAAATCAAAAATATTTTAAAATCTAAATACCATCATTTCGACAAAGTAGAATGAATACTTTTACTACATAACTTAATTTTTTAAAATTTTTAAAAATACGTATCAAAAATATATTTAAACTATATATTTTTTTAGTTTCATATCTGAATTATTGAAAGTTTGAGTTTCATGCCTAAATTATCACTTTTTAGTTTGAGAAAACACCTGTTTCTTTTATACATACCACTCTCATAGTATGTATAATACATTCTTTCTTTTTTATTTTAAAAAAATTCCACATCACACTCCACATAGACAAAATATTCAACCTTGGCGATAAAAAAATAAATTATTAGTATTAATTAAAATTAAAAATTAAAAACCATTATAAAATAATATTTTCTTTATTATAAAATAATATTTAGTGTTGTATGCCATTATTGATTTCTCTCACCACCTACTTTGGGTAGTATTTTACCATTATTAGCTAACTGCTGCTCTTACTCGAGAGATTGACCAAATATTCAAACTCATCTTCTGCGGTGATTTGACACTATAAAAAAAAGATATGTATTTTAAATTTTTAAATCTAAGAATCTTCATTTTAAATAATATAATAGGTTATAAGTTATTATTATTAATAAATATTAAGTTTTATTCGTAGAAGAAGTATTTTTTTATGAAAAATAAAGAAATTATTAGAAGAAATTTTACATAGTTGGAGTACTGTATCTAATGAAAAATAATTTAAAATAAGAATAATTATATTATCAATTAAAAACTATAAAAAATTAATTATATAAAAGATATTAACAATCCAAATTTAATTCGCCATTTAATTTTTACTTTAAATCACTAGTATGCTAAATCTGCTTCTGCTTCTTTCTCATTTTTTCATTAATATTAATCAAAAGGTCCAGCATTCATAATGAAGCAGGACTAGTTTAAATTCACAGAATATAAGTCATTTTTTGAGATAATGCCTTCAACAAGCTTTGTTTTTAAATGTTCATTTTCAAAAAAAAATTAAAAAAATAGATAAATTTCAACTATCCTAATCTGTTAAACAATTCCTCTATGTTACCTAATTCGTTAACAATTAACACAATTTTTATTTTTTGAATCTGATTATATTCGGATATGTACTGAAAAGTTTCACATTAAAGAGAACAAAGATGATTTCGTATCCAATAAAAGTCGAACTCTAATATTAACAAAAAAAATTTCATATTTAGTAAGACTCGAATTCAAAACCTTTTAATTAAGAATAAATAGATATCTATCATTCTGTCACTATCATTATTGGTGAGTATTAGAACTTACTACTCCAGCTAATTCTTATTTTAAATAATTTAATAATATTAATCATCATAATTGAAAATTCAAAATCTTAATTATTTAATTATTAACCAAAATCATAGCAAAAGACCCCAAAAAAGGATTTAATTCAAAACTCCCCATCATTATTTGATGCTAAAAAACAAAAATTTGAACTATTTTTGCTTTTTCTCTTGCAAAAATGTCCCAAATTCCTCAGCAAAATTTCCAAGATTCTCTATTTTCTCTGTCTATTTAGACTATAGAGTATACACAAACATTTATATAGTTCTTGTTTTCTCTCTGCTAATTGTTTCTCTCTCTAGCCCACCCACGAATCTCTCTCTTTCTCTCTCTACTGGTAAATAAAAAGAACACTACCCATTTCTGCTCTGTTCAGCTCATAACTGGTTGTCTCAATTTCTGAAAAAACAAAGACACATAAAAAAAACACACAGTAAAACAGGGGTAAGGGGTTAATGCACATGTTCTACTTTCTGGGTGTGTGTGTTTGTGAGGTGAGCGGCAACTTCTATCGTTTTCTTGAAGGAAGCTCTCGTGAAGCTCATGTGAAAGATTGAAAAAGAGATCTGAGAAAAGTTGAGAAAAAAAAAATGAACACTTTTTATGATAGTAACGGGTCACTCGCTGCTTAGTTTCCCCTCTTGATTCAGGTGAGTGTAGTGTTACTCCCAACTTTTACTTTCTCTTTCCACCGTTTTTGTCATAATATACGGTGACCCTTTACTTCTAATAAGCTATTTAAAGCTTAAAAGTGAAGAAAGGTAAGAGTCTTTATGCTCTAATTGAGATGGGTTTTCGTTTTTGCTTTGCTTGTTTTGTTGGGTAGTAAGCAAGAGTGGCAGTTGGCTATGGGTTTGTGGAGGTTTTGGATTTTTAATGGATAATGATTTGTTGTAAGATTTTTCTTCTTTCGAGTTTTAGCCGTTACTGGACGTGAGATTTGTTTAGTGGGAATGTTTATAATGATTCTTGGGGTTATTTGATGGTTTTGGAAGGTAAATTTGGTTTGATTTGGTCATTATTACTAGGTTCTGGGGCGTTGATAGTGAGATAATTTAATACTGGTGAATTGGTAGACATTTTAAGTTGGACTTTTTCATAATTGGGAAGATTTGGAACTGATTTGGAAAGAATGATGCATTTGTTGATGTCTAACCATAATTCAAGAATACTTCCGTGTTTGGATCAATATATGTACTGATCATGACCAGGGCTGTTCGTGACCGGATTCTTAAGGATGCAAATGGAAACATTAGTGATCACTTACGAAATCACATACATTTGACAAATTGTATTCATTTGAAGAACCACATGCATAAGCATAGCCCCATCTTGGCTGATAGGTCCCTTATGAGGGACCTTGTTGTACTTCAGAGGTCAAGGTCCTTAAGAGATCCTTCTGCAAGTCCACCCTCATGGCAATCTCCTTCTGTTGTCGATGCCCTTCTTAAAAGAAGTGAAAGGGATGCTGTTATGAGCAATGGTAGGCGGTCTGTAGGCATAGATCGACCTAGGGATGGCAGAGGTTTATCTGGAAACTCGCCTCCTTTAGCTGTCCGATCGCCGTCTAGAGTGGCTTCTGCAGAGATTAATAAGCATAATGCTGAGAGAATGGCAGGGGCTCCAAGTGATCGAAGTAGCAAGAGTGGAGTTCGCGAACGGAGGAGAGTCAGGGGAGAAGAATCAAGCCGTAGGAATCTGGGAACTGACTACATTGCTGAAAAGGATGAGTGTCCCGATGATAGAAATGATTTGGTCCACGATCCTGCTTCAGAGAACTCCGAACAAAGGGGTAGAATTAGCAATGAAACAGAGAGGCAGAGGCATGATCATCGAACAAGGACCCTCTCTGAGCAATTAAATGATGTTCCAATTGACAGTGATGGGGTAGCTTCTTCTCACATTCATGCTCGTGGAAGGCATAATCATAATGAGAAAATTGCAGAGCAAATGGAGGCGACAACTCGTGGCAATGGCAGAGTAAAAAGGCGTAAGTTTCGAGGGGCAAGAAGAACTCGTACTTCTGTTCCTTCAAGGGATGCTCTTGCCCACAATGAAATGTCTGTGGCCTCAAATTCATTAGGTCAAGCTTCAGCACACCAAAAATATCCTGCAGAAGATGGCTATGAAGAGTATGTCAACCAGAATGTAACAAGAGATCCAAGGAATGGATGCGGAATTCCTTGGAACTGGTCAAGGATTCATCATAGAGGAAAATCATTTCTCGACATGGCAGGCAAGAGTTTATCTTGTGGGTTGTCTGACCCAAGGTCAAAAAGAAGTGGTGGTGGTCCAAGAGGGGGGGATGCTGCTGATATGCCAATAATGTCCGAATACTCGAGCTCATCTAGTAAATCTGAAGCAGAGGCATTGCCCTTACTATTTGATGCTTCAAATTCGCAGGGAAGTTCAGACCATCCTGCTTGGGTTCATGATTATTCGGGAGAGTTGGGTATCTATGCAGACAATTTACTAAAGCAAGAACTTGACTCGGATCTTGCTTCAGAAGCTAGATCAGGCGAGCAACGCAAATTTCGCACGCGTGGCAATAGTAGGCACCAGAGTCTAACACAAAAGTATATGCCAAGAACATTCCGAAATTTGGTAGGACAGAATTTAGTTGCACAAGCTCTTTCAAATGCCGCTGTTAAGAGAAAAGTTGGCTTGCTTTATGTTTTCTATGGGCCTCATGGAACAGGAAAGACCTCATGTGCCCGCATTTTTGCAAGGGCATTAAATTGCCAATCCATTGAGCATCCCAAGCCTTGTGGTTTTTGTGATTCTTGCATTGCACATGATATGGGAAGGAGTCGAAATATAAGGGAAATAGGTCCTGTGAGTAATTTTGATTTTGAGAATATGATGGATCTTCTTGATAACATGATTGTATCGAAACTGCCATCCCAGTATAGGGTGTTTATATTTGATGATTGTGACACACTGTCTCCTGATTGTTGGAGTGCTATTCTAAAGGTCATCGATAGAGCTCCTAGGCGAGTCGTTTTTATCCTTGTATCCTCAAGTCTTGATGTCTTGCCTCATATAATCATATCTAGGTGCCAGAAATTCTTTTTTCCCAAGTTGAAGGATGCAGATATCATCTATACTTTGCAATGTATTGCAACCAAGGAAGATCTTGAAATCGAAAGGGATGCACTCAAGCTTATTGCATCAAGATCAGATGGATCGCTGAGAGATGCTGAAATGACTCTTGAGCAATTGAGTTTGCTTGGCCAGAGAATCTCTGTCCCTCTTGTTCAGGAGCTGGTGCGTTTTCTAGCATATTCTCTTATCAAAGCTCGAGGAAGTTCTTTTTGCTTTGCCGATCAAGATCTCATACTTTGTTGCTAATGCATTTTATTAACTTTTCTTTTTATGATCCCACTTGAACTTTGTTTGATTTGCAAACAATCATATGAAATTTCTAAAGCAAGGTTAGACTTTTTTTTGTGTGAATTATGTTTTCTTTTGTTCTCTCTTTCCTCAATGAGAATTTTACTAAACGTTGTCTTGATTTATCATAGTGCATCTTTTATCAAGTGGACATTGACCTTCTCTGCATTAGAAGGAGATTTTAGTTTGTCATTTTCTGTTTACCTAAACTATGCTTTCATTAAGAGAGTGGCATATGATTAATATCTGTTTGATCTCATAATTGTTTAGCAAAAAGCTTTAGCTAAATGGAAGTTATCATTCTCAAAAAAAAAAAAGCTTTAGCTAAATGATGGTGTTTTCTTGCACACACACTTATTTCATTATTTCAGTGTGAGGAGGTGAGATGTCTTAGACTAATCCAGCTATTACCTCACACTTCAGGAAGAAGACTAGTCTTTGGTAATAGAATATCATGCTTTGTTTTTAGAGGTTTCAGCATATGGCTACCATATCAGTTTACAATGCTGGCGAAGAAGTACTAGGCATCTTGCAAATGAACTTTAACTGGTTGTCCAACTATATGATAGAAGATGAGGTGCGTATTTTGTGGTCAATGAGGTGGATTGAGAACCATGAGGTGTCAGGTTCAATTCCTGGCGGAGGCAAAATCATTTTTGATAAGGAAAAAACATTTTTGATAAGCAAAAACTTACCTACTGGTGGACAAACTTACCTGGTACCTGTGCTGGTGGGAGGCAGCATGTACCAATTAATCGGAGTGTGTGCAAGCTAGCCCGATACCACAAATATAAAAAAATAAACCTAGGTTCAGTATTGAATGTACGTTAAGCTTTCTATAAAACAAAAATTTTCTCTAGTAGACTGGTTATTGCTTTTTGGATAATAATATTGAGATACTTAGAAATGACATTTAGTATATATTGTTCTTTGATGAAGAATTGAAATATCCTTTATTATAATTATTTCTTCTGGCTTTATGGAAAATTACACTAATCAAAAGTGAGCTACCGTTGTTTCAACTTCTTCCTTACATTGCCTAATTACTAAATTTTGAGATTAGATATGTGATTGTAACTTTTTAATAACTTTTGTGACTTGATGTCATTACAGGTTGGACTTATATCCGATGAGAAATTAGTGGACTTACTTGACTTGGCATTATCTGCTGACACTGTCAATACAGTGAAACATTTGAGGGATATCATGGAATCTGGTGTCGAACCCTTAGCTTTAATGTCACAACTTGCTACAGTCATAACTGATATACTTGCTGGGAGCTATGACTTCACAAAAGAAAGGCCTCGGAGGAAGTTCTTTCGACGCCAAGCAAGTAAGTGATCTATAATATGGTTATTCCATAATAAATGAGTTATTATAGATCCATATGATATTGGATAAACTACTGGGTAATAGCTCACAATAGCCAGACAATACATATTGATTTCCCTTAATAAGTCTTCCAACTAAAAGCTAAATCAGCTTTGCTTGTGAAACAATTTGCAAAGAGAATCTTGTATCACATCTTCCAATTTAACTAATTGCCTTCTCATTCTCTTTCAATATTCTCACAGCCACAAGAACTTGAACTATATATGCCATTTTAATCATATTTTTCTCCAAGTTCAACTCTTACTTTCCTTTTCTTTGGTTGCAGTATCAAAACAAGATATGGAAAAACTGCGTCAAGCTCTGAAAACACTATCTGAAGCTGAAAAGCAGCTGAGAATGTCAAATGACAGACTTACCTGGCTTACAGCTGCATTGCTGCAACTCGCTCCAGATCAGCAGTATATGTTGCCCAATTCCTCAGCTGACACTAGTTTTATTCAAAGTCCACTAGACTTGAATAATGCAGGGGGAACAGAAAGACCCAGGAAAAGCAATGTCGAGCATGCTGACATGCTACACAAAAACAGAGGGTTCCCATCAAAAAGTAGAGTAGAAAACTTTCAAGCTGGATGTTCTAGTGATATTTACTCCGACGCCAGGATGAAAGGGGTTCACATTGGTGGGAAAGGGCATAATGGAACTGGAGAATTTACTCAAAAAGCTTATGGCGTCTCTAGTGATAAAAATAGAACAAGTAGTGGTCAGGTTACAGGTAAGTTGCACCAGGATATTGAAGAAATGTGGTTAGAAGTGCTTGAAAATATCGAAATAAATGGCTTAAAAGAGTTTATGTATCGTGAAGGGAAGCTTACCTCAGTCAGCTTTGGAGCAGGTACAATTCATTTAGTCTCTTACAAAAATCCTTAGCTATGTCTTATGGTCATGACTAGTGAACTGTTCTTAATTATTTATATTATTATGTAGTAAGGTCATGAGTAGTGAGTTTTGCACACTTATATTCAATTTTAGGCATTTCAACTGCATGTTTAATCAGCAGGTGAAAACCAGAAGAGTTTTGTCCGCCAGATCAGTTTAACACAAAATACTTTTTTAATTTTAAGTAAACCAATTAATGTTAGCTTAAAATAGATCTTCATTATTTTAAATTATTACAGACCTGCACTATTTTAAGGTTATAGAATAGATTCAAGAGAAAAGCTTCCTTTCTCTTAATCAGGAATCAATTTGGGGTCAGGCTTTCTCCGAATGGCCTGGTTATTCAAGTTTCTTGGATGTTATCTTTTATTTCCTTGTCAATATAGATCATGGACATATATTTCTAAATGTCCAGGGTGTTAAACTTGCTGCTTTTTTTTGTGAAGAAGGTGGAATTGAACGGAACCTAGTAATACTAAGAGAGCACGTTTTGACAGGATTATATGGTTTGAAGTTTGAACAGTTCATTTCAAAGACTTGTTGCAGCAAGTAGTAGCCAGGGGCAGACGTAGAGTGTGAGTTATGATTTCATCTGAACACCAATAGCTTTGGCTTGGAACTTTTATGTGGTAAAAATCACAAAATCAAGTACAAATAAGTAAGTAGCGAGCCCTGTCAATCAAATAAGATGTGATAGAACCCCAAACTCGAACCCATAAAGTTCAAATCCTAGATCCGCCTCTAATGGTAGCAGGCTGCTCACTGCTGATTGCAAGAGTGTTTTTAGTGCTTCAACGCATGAGAAATGACTACTTTCTTTATTCTATTATTCTTTTGAATCTCTCTCTGTATCTGTTCACCTCTTGGTTACCTGCTTAATTTTACATCTGTGTTACAAATTTAATGCATTGTAAGCTTTCTGAGTATTACTCTTGCACTTTGTAGCTTGGTTTCCTTTGTAATTCCATATTCATTCTGTTGTAAGCTTCCTTTTCGATTGACATCTTTATTTTAGTTTTGGACTTCCTATAACTTAACATACTATGAACATAAAATTCCATTCTGACTTGTAGCGATACTGTGTCTTCTGTAATATGAGTGTTATTCTAGAGTTGCTTATGTTTCCATATGTGCCCCATGACTTGTGAAAGAGGGAGGGAGGGACTCTATTGAAAAGTATGTTTCATGTACTGTGCATGTGTCCCGTCGTTTCCCTTTTTTGTTGGGACAACTATATAATACTGATCTGTGGGGTTTCATTTGTAGATGTTATTCATGCTCATCGGATTTGTTAATTTCTTTGCAGCTCCAACTGTGCAGTTACTGTTCAGCTCACATATAACAAAATCCAAAGTAGAGAAATTTAGGGGTCATATTTTACAAGCTTTTGAGTCTGTTCTTGGGTCCCCCGTGACAATAGAAATCAGATGTGAATCCGGGAAAGATGGCAGGGCTGGACCAATTGTGTTGTCAGCACCTCATGGTGTATCTCATATAGGTACAAATCCTGGCATTCATGGTAATGGGGTGAGAATGGCAGGTCCTGATGAAATCAGCAGGGCACAAGTGAATGATAGCGAAGGTTTAGCATTTAGAAAGCTCGACTCGAGAGGAATAGGTGGTAGCGAGATAGTTGAAGAGGAAGCTTCTCCAAGAGAATCAAAACACAATGATCAGATCGACAACAATACACAATTTGATAGGCGGAATTTAGAAAGGGATTTTCCGGGAGGGATAATGTCAATTGCCAAAAATTCATCCACCTCCATTCCTGAACGAAGAAACTTAGGGGATAGAAGCCAGAGTTTGAGCTTAGTTAAGAGCAAGGTATCTCTTGCTCACGTAATTCAGCAGGCAGAAGGATGCACACGGCAAAGTAGCTGGTCAAAACGCAAGGCTGTTTCTATCGCTGATAAGCTTGAACAAGAGAATTTGTATGTACCTCTTTACCCATCCTTCTTGTATTACCACATCATATATCAGATTGTATATGTGTCTCAGATGTGTAATCATTTGCTTGAAGAGACAAATAATATACCATCAAAACGTATGTCTTTAAGTTATGTTTTGATTTAATATAGCAGTACAGAACTACAGATGCAGAAAAGATTAGAGAATGCCCTACTGTTATAGAGTGGATATTTTGTATTAAATGAAATGTGGAGCACAAGCAGTCCATTCATCCTTCACTTGTTGGTGGATGGAATGATACACATGCTAGAAAAATACACTCCATCCAGATTAGTGTTGTCCTGTCGTCAATTATCAGCTAAAGGACCCCATAGAAAATGTTACAACCTTTAAGTATAACATCAGGACATATGGCACCACTTTACTTTTTGTTGGAATGAGTATTCTTATATTGCATAGTTCTTATAGTAGGTATAGCTATCTTCATTTGATATTCAGTTGTTCTTGGAAACACACAAGTGATCCTCTTTTAATTGGACTATTCTCATGTAGTAATGTGATCTTTCTTCTCTGCAGGAGATTAGAAGCAAGGTCAAGGAGCTTGCTTTGTTGGAAGGCTAGAAGAGTCACCCGCCGACAGGTAAACAGATTCAAACATCTATTTTCTTTTTCAATTTATTCAAGAGTCCTTTTAATGTTTTCTACACATCTTAGACTTTTCAAGTTGTATGTCAACGTAGTTGCATTCATCCGTTAATTGGAATTTGACATACTGCACTAAGGTGCAAGTATAGGCAAGTATGAAGATGTTTCAGTTCCTAACATATCAAATCAAGATGCTTCCTTGCCGGCTGCCTTGTCTTACATTTAGCTATATGATGATGGACCATGAGCAAAAATATCTTACGCACCCAAAAAGAAAAAAATAGAGATTAGCAAAAGAGTATAGTGGGTTGTATGCACAAGTTGGGCATCGATGGAATACCTCGACTATTCCACCAGGTGCCTCTATCCACAGGTATCGAATAACTTTAAACACCAAGGCTTAGGTGGATGGAAAGAAATTGCCTGGTGTTTTTTGCACTTGAGACTTCGTGGTTCTCCTCTCATTTCATTGACCATTAAATTAAACCGCGTCCTTGGATGCAAATCCAGTTCAAAGCTGGAAATAGCGAATTAACTGACCTATTCTATGGCTTCCAGAGTATTCTAGGACAATCGCACGTGATTCGTAGTTCCCTCTGGGCTCTGGCAGTGCATGAGATGTTTAAACTATATAATGCTACTGTCAATTCAGCCAATTTTTTTTGTAAAAGCTATCACCATTCCGAATATAAAAGCTCTTTGAGGAACATCAGACTATAGCACAGTTTTGATTACTGACACTGAGGCACGATGCTGAAGGAGAGACTTATTTATCTATGGGAAAATACTCTTTAGTGGAGTAAATGGGATATAAATCCTTTCACTTGTAGCTTCTTATTTCTTTTGTTTCATGATTTAGAAGGCTTTACACCAACTTGTTACAGGATATATTACTGACTTATTATCAAATTTAGTAGCCCTACTGATTTATTTGAAACTATCAGTTATAACAGAATTGTTTATCGCGTGCAGCTTTCGCGATTGAAAACAAGAAGTAGGAGGCCAAAGAGCTTACTGAGGTTCGTTTCTTGCGGAAAATGTCTCTCTGGTAGGTCTCCAAGGTAGCAGTGAAATGTATCAGATTAATTTCCAGTTTTAGTTCTACTATTTGTTCAACGTCAGTCAATCTTTGTTTAGAAGGTCAATTTTATTTTTTCCAATAATAAATGGAAGGTGCAACATTATTAATATATCTTTTTCTAGTTTAGCAATTTTCTCTTTTAGATGTCTACAGTAGCTCTCATGTACTACAACACTATTCTACATTCTTATAAATTATTGGGAATTCATTTTTCCTCTTTTACTATGACATATGTAAATCATTTTTCTTTTTTTTTTGTTAGTAATTATTGTCCATTCTTTTTTCTATTTAATCTCTAAAACTATAGTCCTTTGTTTTATTTTATAAAGTTGCACTTGTTAATTTGACATATTTCTAAATTTTAATCCCCTGTTTTGGTTTTAAAGGACACTTTAGGATTATGCCATAATTTTAGTCCCTTTACATTTCAAACCATGTATGATGTGACATACTATTCCTTGCATATAGTCTGTCAACAAGAGAACAAATTAAGTTAATTATTTCAAATTATTTGTCAATTTATTTTATAAAAGAAAATTGTTTGGTTGTTCTATATATTGTTCAACCCATCAAATGGGCTTCAGAAATTAATCAAAGAGGCTCACATGGGATGCCTCACCTAGTCAAAATTTATTATTATTTTTTGGCATAAAATAATATTTAATGATTTTTCTCTTAACAAATTTATTTAATCAACACTTTGTCTCTATCTCATGTGAAAAATTGCATGTCGATTTGAAACTATACTTATTAATTAAAGACTAATAAAAACTTAAACAATATTGAGTAAAAAGCTTTACTCGTTGAGCTCACTAATGATAAATACAAGTTCAAAGAGTAATGGTATCAAATTTACTTAAAAGATATTAATCAAGAACTGTCGATAGGGTATAATATTTTAATTTGAGGATGTTTACAAATTAATTTTGTGCAAATGTTTATGTATAATCAGGGGCGGAGCTACATTATATGAAGGGGGTTGGTTCATTCGAACTCCTTTCAACGAAAAATTATATTATTTATACATGGTTAAAATAAATTTATACGTCTATATAGTAGATGTTGAACCCCCTTCGGCTATCTATCTCTACAGATTTTAAACCCTCTTATTAAAAATCCTGACAAAATTATATTATTTATACATGGTTAAAATAAATTTATACGTTTATATAGTAGATGTTGAACCCCCTTCGGCTATCTATCTCTACAGATTTTAAACCCTGTTATTAAAAATTCTGACTCCGCCTCTGATCAGTATGTATACATTATATATCATGGTATGTTTGGTACAAAGAGTGATTTTTTTTTTTAATCTATTTTCATGTTTAGCCCTAGACTTTCATTGTTAGTTTTGCGTTTGCTCTTCTTGTATGATTTATTTTTCTAAAAGATTAAACGTTACCACATAAATTAACAAATGGCCAAAAAGGAAAGATAACAATTTTAAGCATATCTCTATAATTTGCTAGTAACAAACAAAATATTTTTAAAAATTATCTTGTTAGATATAGTTATAATATAATAAATGTCTTTCTCACATTTGATAAATGTTTTGGTTTTACTCTTGTGTACATATTTGAGTCAACTCGTTAGGTGAAGAAAAAAGCAATAACACAATGAGGTAAATTACCGTTAACACGGATTATTATAGATGATTACAATCAAATAAGGACATGTTTAGTCAATTAGGTGTTTAAATGAATTAATTAGTTAATATATATATATATATATATATATATATATATATATATATTCTATGGTAAATAATTTTTAAATTATTATTGAGATAATTAAATTTGACCCTTATTGATCATAGCCGACCTCCCACCCACCAATCTTGACCATAATGTGTATTTAGTAAACAGGGTTTAAATTTGAAGTAATAAAATTACTCGATCATCATAGACAAATTACGTGACAATTTTATTGAATTTTGTTTTGTTTTATAAATGGTAATTTGTAAGCAATTATATTTGATAATTTGATCCTTCTAGGTTTAAATTTGGGGGTAATGAATGAGGGAGGAGTAAGTAATAGCTCGTAAATTATATTAGAGATATAAAGTGCATTAGACAAGTTTTATATGATGAGCTCGACGAAAAATTATTTTGTAGGAACAATTGATCTATAGTCTTTCTCGTGGAATATCATCTGCTCCACCAACTAAATATTTCCTTATTATAGCAAAAATATTTACATAAAATGTAATACTCCTTAGAGAAAAGGATAAAATAATGCCCTCAAACTATGTGAAAGGAATAAAAATGTCTTCCGTTTATAGTTTAGCTCAAAAACGCCCCCCATTTGTAGTTTGGTCCGAAAATACTCTTGCCATCAATATTGGTCCAAAAATGCCCTTATCGTTATTTGACACATTTTTTTCAATTTAATGTTTTTTTTAAAAAATAACAAATGTTTATCTTACTTTGATTAAGAAAAAAAAAAGTGAAAGTATTTTTTATTTTATCAGCAATATTTTTTATCGTTATATAAATATAAATTAATGATAGATATACTATAATCGTATACATATGACATATATCATCTATCGAAAGGGTACATGAAATTATTAAAAAAAAATATTTTCTAACTTTTATTTGTTAAAGTGATTTTAGAAGAAAGAAAATTAGAATAGTGTTCCTTAATAATATTTCAATTAGGAAGAAGATGAATTTAAAAAGAAAAAAGAAAAAATCAATATATTTATTTAGCAAAAGAGCGTTTTTGATCAATTTTATAACTATAGTGACATTTATGGACCAAAATATTAATTACAAAAGCATTTTTTGAATCAAGATATTAACAATAAAGATATTTTTTAATTAAACTATAAATAAAAAATATTTTTATTTAATTCATATTAAAGGATATTTTTACTAATATATGAGCAAGAAATTAAAGGGTCTATCTTGTGAACTTAATTAATTTATTCTGTATACAATACTATTTCCTCAAAGTCAACGGTCCGACTTTGAATTAGAATTTTCAAACTTATCTATATCTAAATCTAATTAAAATAGAATAAATACTAAATCAGCACCACGGGTTCTTTTAAATATTATTTTTTTCTTAAAGGATCGACATTAATTTTAAAATAAACACCAACTTGAATCTTTCAATTCTTCCAAAATTTGAACTTACATTTAAAAAATATATTGGAAAAAATTGGCGTCTGATAAAAATATAAATAGGTCATATCATGATACGTAGTTCGAAAAAATTAATGAAATAATAATTTTAGTGTTACTTTTATTCTATAAAATAGCCTTCTCAGACTAAAAAAATGACAATAGAAAATTTCAAATCATCTTCTCGGCCTTCTATTCACTTAGACTTTCTAATTCTTTTCGAGTAATTAGCACCCTTGTAATTAAAAATTGCATGCTTAAAATAGCTTTGAAACTCTAAACATTTGTATTGCATTTACTCACTTATGATAACAAAGTTTTATTATATAATAGGATAGCTTTAGATAATTGGAAATTTTGGCTTCATTTATTCCATTTATATACATTATTTAAGCCTTTAAGGCATATAGACACATTACTTCATTAGTCATTCTTTATATACCACAAGATTCTGAGTAATTGAACCCTCAACCTCAATTATAGAGGTGAAACAAATATGCATTTAATATTAATTATCGTTAAATATGTATTTTTAGCGGCAATTAGCATTCTTTGTATATATTCTGAAGCCTATAGTGACAGTAGTTCTAATGATACTTAATTGAGGCCGATAAATACTTTAGCACTCTTTATTAATGTCAATATTTAATGCCGCTAAAAAATATTTTTGTTATAATATATAAAAAGCGAAAAAACAATGTTTTTAATTTGTTATATATGAATTTTCTTTTTATTTTCAATTAAAAATAAAACTCTCTTATCAGTACACCCAGAACCATGTGTTCATATGTGAATTATTATGATTTAAGGAGTGTGGCATGTGTGCATGAACCCATACATCTCCTTTTGGATATGTTCCCCTAATTATGAATTCGATTTTCATCTCAAATATAAATCTAAACATATAATTGAAGAAACATTAAAATTGTTCCAATGCTTTATTTTTTCATACATATAATGTAAGTAGATATACTAATAATAAACTTAATAGGGTGACTTTATTTATGTTTACCTCTCCTTTTAGAAGCTTCCATCCTTTTACTTTTCTAGTAACTCGAAAGCACATTCTCTAAATTAAAATTTAAAAATACTTACGATCCGAATAATTTTCTCTCGTCGAGCGTTTGAAAATTTTGGACGTTTGACTTGTATAGATATATATATAAGTTAGGCGTTAGAAAATTAGAAGAAAAAACGAAAACGCGGTCGACATTGAGTATACGTGGCAGTTTTTGAGCTGTAGTTTTCCTAAACTATACGGAAAAAGTCATGTGGGGCTCTAATTATTTAATGCAAGTACCTAACTATTATAACATTAAATTCATACTCAATAGCATTTAGTTAACTTTCCTTCAAGATTTTTTTAAAAAAATTGTATTTTCATTTTCGTATGAAAATGTGTCATCCACTAGAAAAATAGATATATATGAAAAGTATATTTTCATTTTCTTACACGCCGTTGAAGTTCACAATCCTAATTAAATTTGAATAGACACTATATGATTTATAATTTTTTCATGGTGACATTTCTAATATAATATTTTATATTCAGATATAAATTTGAGACTTGTAATTAAAGGCAGGACAGTCTCATTACTGTATTAAAATCATGATGATATAAGGATGACAAATTATTTGTTGGGAAAAAAATTCTGATATCTTAAAACGAATTATTATTTTCTAACTGTAGAAATTGTGTATAATTGTAATATATAAATGATATGTCTTTGAATAGCGTTAAAGTCTGTTTGGAATTGCTTTTGATTTATGACTTATAAGCCAAAAGTATTTTTACCTTATGTTTTTTGGTTTATTTTTATTATTTTGACTTTTAAATAAGTGTTTATAAACAGTTTTTAATTTTATCCAAACACTTTAAAATAATTTAAAAACTATTTTAACTTAAAAACACCTAAAATAATCAATCCAAAACAGATAATAGTCAACTTGTGCAATCCTTGAATTGAATTGGCTTTAAAAGCCTTCTACTATGACATTAACTTCTTAAACCGTTGTTTGAGGCTATGACATGATTATGCTTGTTCACCTATATATATATATATATATATATATTTCATTTTATATTGGTTCAAATTTTAATA